TGACTCTTTAAAAACAAACCCAGACCCAAACCCACCACCTTCGAATTTGATTTACTCTTAGTAAATCTATAGAGTAGAATAAACTGTTCTCTAGGGTTTTGGAGACTATACATCTTTATGGCAGCAGACTCTTACCTTTCACCTATAGAGCAGCTGGTGGGTTCAAACTACCTACCTTTCAGCATAAGGCGCTAAGACCTTTTTCTCTAACATGAAAAGAGAAAGGGAAAAAAGCCAATGCAGTAGACAGTGAGTTGACTCTCTACTATCTCCCTGGATTTCACAGGTAGGGAATCCTGTCCACCTGATCCTCGGCCACTCACTGTTCAATGTACTTTTTCCTACTACCGCCTTCTAGTTGGCTACCCTGTGGGAAGCAGCTATAGGGTCTGGTGTCCACAGAGACCCATAGATGAAGTTTAGATGGTCTCCATTCAATGCTACACAGTTTGAACCCGTGTAGGTGGTTTTCTGTTTGTTTGTGTTTTTTTTAGTCTGGGAGTTTGTGACTCCCGAGAGTGGCTTTGCAAGTGAAATTAGGTGCATTAAAATCTCACAATTTTGTTGGCTGCTATTTCTGATGACCACCCACTGGAATTTTCTTATACTGTTGTGTGTTGTGATGATGCTGGAAGTTCTGCTACAGATATTTCAAGGACCAGCAGGGTTACCCATGGTGGAGAGCTCTCAGGGGTGCTTCCAAATTAAGACAGACTAAGCCTGGTATTTCTACTTTTGAAAATTAGCCAGTGAAAACTCTGTAGATCTCAGCAGAATATTGTCAGTTTAGGACTGGGTAGCATTTTCTTCTGTTGTGCATGAAGTTGCCATGGATTGAAGCTAATTCAACAGTAGCTATAGCTAACAATATCAAATTTGAGCATGCTTTATTTTCCCTTTTCTCTAAATTCCACTCAGCCAATGAATGAATTTGTTCCCAAGTGCAAGAGCAGCTTACATGTCATGTTGTTTTTTAGGTGAGAGAAAGAAAAACTGCATTTTATGACATTTCCTTCAAATCTACCATAAGAAGCCCCAGTAGCATAGTGGGTTATGCTTTAGTCTGCTAAACTCAAGGTCAACGGTTTAAACACACCAGGCACTCCATGGGAAAAACACGAGGCTTTCTACTCCTAAAAAGATTTATAGACCCTGAAACCCAAAGGAGCTGTTGCCCAGTTGAGGGTTACTATGAGTTGGTGGAATTGAGCTTGGTTTTTTTCTTTTTCTGACCCATTACCATTGTTATTATCTATTGTCATTTAGATATGCACTCCCTGCTCCCCCAACTCCTTGCTAAAAAATGAGAGACAAATTTATGTAATTGCCCTTTACCCTAAGCTGAAGATTTGGTAAATTTTTATGAGTTCCAACCTTGAATGGCCTGTTTCTCTTACAACTGTACTCCTTGAAAACGCAAAGGAAATGGAAACTTGGGGTAATCATGAGATGGCCTAAAAACACATTTTATTTTGGTCAAAATTATCCAGCAAACTTGTCTCAATTTTCAGTTTGAAATTGAGAAAACCAACAGATACGTTTCCAGGCCTCAGATGAGCAGTAAGGTGGGGGAGCTGGCTGAAATGCAATTCAGGGCTCAGTTATAAGACGAGACTTCCAGGGGAGGCACAGAGTCTGAGTTCAGGCTGAAAAAGGCTAGAGACAGCCCACTCACCCTCGTGATTCAACACACCAGGATTGCACATTCCTCACAACTAGCATTTGGCACTTCCCCTTTTATGCTGTCAGTATCTGATGACACTTTCATGAAGCAAGAGAGTGTCACTCAGCTCACACCCTCCACGACATGTGGTACATCAGCACATCAAAGGAATCAATGGCACAGTGGAGGTTGGACCACAGTCAATGTAGTGCCCAGAGGGTGCTGGTAATAAAGCAAAGCCAACTTGTGAAAATGTGCTGTCTTCAAACATGGAGGCATTGTGCTCCGTTGGCAATTGTAATCAGTGCCAAAGTCGCGTGTCTCATGTCTAGAGGTGCTGAGCAGAGAGGGTAAAGCAAAGGAGGAGTGATTATAAGCAGAGAATCGTGACTCAAACAGTAACAAAGATTACTAAAGCTATTACAAACTGTGGCTTCAGTTATGATCTATAGGGATACCATTTATGAATAACACATTTAGTAACTATTTACTAGGAGTTTTAAGTGATGGGGAGAGGATGCTCTTTCTCTCTTGGGCAGTTTCTGGCCCCTCACCCAGCATTCCCAGGAACTGCTGGTACAGCCTTGTTGACATTGCTTATTTGCTGGTGGGTGGAAGGTAATGAGTTCCTTGAGTCCAGTGTTGCTCCTTTAGCCCTCGTAACCCAGTATTCACAGAGCGATGCCACTGAGCAGACTAATAAAATCAGATGAATACACAACGCAGATGGAGATGAGTTATGAATGTTTTTCAACTTTGGCTCTTAAGTCAAATGAGACTCAAATAAAAATTGCTTACTCTTAGCAAACTAGGCCTCCCCTTGGAAATCTCAAGCTTGATTGACAACATTTCCTGTCTTTTTGGAGTCTATTTGAGAGTACTAAGGACTGCCAGAAGAAAAATACAAATCTATTTAAGAAGAAGTACAGCCAGAATGCTCCTTGGAAGCAAAAATGGTGATGTTTGGTCTCACGTACTTTGGACATATTATCAGGAGATACCAGCTCTCCTGGAGAAGGACATCATGCGTGGTAAAATGGAGGGGAGGCAAAATAGAGAGATGAGGTGGATTGACACCATGGTTACAACGACAGCTCAAATTTAATGACAGCTGTGAAGATGACACAGGACCAGGCGATGCTTCCTGCTGTTGTATGCAGCGAAAACATCAATCATTTATTCTTAGCCACATTCCATACATTCTCTCTCCTAGGAGCTCTACCTCTAAAGCTTTTTGCAGACTCATCTTTGCTTTCCTGTCCTTTCTTTCTTTTAAATGGTCATCATTATTACTAAAGAGCATTCCATGTAAAAAAAAACCTATCTTGGTCTGCCAGTTCTTACTACCAGGTTCAAGTTCAAGCTTATTTTCAGATCACACTGATGGCACCTCTCAGCCATACAAATGGCGATAACTATATTGATGTGTGCTCAAAATATACCAGTCACTGTGCTACACATACTTTATGGATGTTCCAATTTTATCCTCACAGTCCTTGGAAGTGAGTATGCAATTCAGCAGGACACCTCCTTTTGGGGTTTCGAAGACTAAATCTTTACAAGAGCAGAAAGTCTCATCTGTCTTCTATGGAGAGACTAGTGGGTTTAAACTACTGACCTTGTGGTTAGCAGGCTCAATTTGTAGCCCACTGCACCATGAGGGCTCCTTTGCTGGTGCTTATTAGGAGACACTGGATAAAGCTCCAAGGGAGAA